GGACCTTCTGCACACCCAGCAGATGCATGACCAGCGGAACCTCCAGGCCCCCTTCATTGTCCAAACGGAGACAGGGAGTGGTTTTGGTCCTCTGCAAGCTCTGGTTTTTTTGGGGGGAGTGAAAAGCTCCCCGCCCGCCTCTCCTCCTCCTCCCCCCTCTGGGCCCTCGGGGGCCCTTCCTGGCAGCCCGCCAGAAGCCAAGGGGAGAAATGTAATAGGGTTGCCAACCTCCCGGTGGTCACAACTCCCGTCCAGGGAACAGAGATCCCTCCCCCTGGAGAAAACGGCCGCTTTGGCAGGGGGACAGTGGATTCTTGGGCCTTCTCCCCCACGGAGGTCCCTTTACCTGCGGCCATGGCGGCGGCGGCGGGGGCGCCCTTTTTCGCTCGGGAGGGGCGCATGGCTGGCTGGCTGGCTGGCGGCTGCCGTCGGCTCTGACTCGGCCACCTCGGCCCGGCTCGGCTCTTCTTTATAGCGGTCGGTCGGAAAGTGGGGCGGCTCTGCCGGGAAGGGGCCCGTCCTTCGGGGAAAGGCGCCCCGAAAGCGAAAGCGCCTCGACGGCGGCGGCGGCGGCGGCGCGCTATAAAGGCTGCGGGCGGCCGTCGCAGCGGCCAGGTCCGGGGCGGCGAGCGGTGCGCGAAGGAAGCAAGCAAGACGGACGGACGGACGGACGGACGGCGGTCTCCTGGAGGTAACGGGCTGCATTCGGCGGCAGTCGCCGGAGCCCTGCTGCCGGGGAGGGACTGCCCACCCTCCGGGGGCGGCGGGGAAGCGGCGGAGCCCCCGAGCTGCCCGACTGCGGGACCAGAGCCCCGGGGGCGAGTCGGGGCCGGGCGGGACGGTTCCCTCTAAGCGGAGTTCGCGTGCGCCAGCCCACAGACTCTTAGCCCCCGGCTCAGGGAGGAGGATGGGGCTCCAGAGCAGACGGAGGGGCGCAGCGGCCCAGGCGCTCGCTCACAGCTTTCATGCCAGCGGCTCTGCCCCCAAGACGCCGCCGCTTCGAGGGAGCGTCGGGCGGGTCTCTTAGCCGCCGGACTTCTTGCTGCCGCCGGCTCTCCCGGAGCTCCTGCCGTGGGGAGGGGTCCTGGCCGGTGTTCCCTCGAAGCTGAGTGAGTGTGAGCCAGCTCACAGTTTCTCAGCCTCCAGCTCACAGATTTTTGCCTTCGCTCGGGAAGGAGGGCTCCAGGGCCAACTGATCTATGCAGCGGCCAAATTGCTGGCTCCCACATTTCATGCCAGTAGCTCACAGAGTAGGATTTTTGCTCACAAGACTCCACAGCTTAGAGGGAACATTGGTCCTGCTGTGGCTCCGTGGGTGGGAGCGCCTCTGCCTGGCGTGTAGAAGGGCCGGTCCCCAGAGCAGCAGCCTCTCCAGGGAAGAGGGGCGGGAGGCGGGGGGAAAGGCCTCCCTCTGCCGGAGACCCCGGAGAGGCGCGGCCAGCCCGAGCAGGCGAGACCGCCTTTGAGAGACGGAGGGTCTGGGCCAGCCGAAGGCCCTCTTAGCCGTGCAGGGATCGCCAGCGGCCAACTGCTGAGCTGTTCTCCTGGCTTGTTCATGCGGCCCCTAGGAAGACCCAGGCCAGTGAGAAGTTGGCCCGAACCCAATCCAGACACGTAGAAACACGGAGCTGGAAGGGTCCCTCAAGGGTCATCTAGTCCAACCCCCTGCACCACGCAGGACCTTCACACCCACCTCCCCTCCCCGCTCCCCCAGGGAGCTCCGGGCTAGTTCAGACGGCCTGGGCTCTCTGGAGACAGAGGGCCCTTGCAGTCACTGGCCAGACAGATTCACGACTGCCTGATATCTTACCCCAGAGGGGGAACGGCCTCTCAAACCTTCTGCTGTCAGGGAAGCCTTTTCCACGGGACCCTCTGCGGCCAAAGGCCCACTCAGGAGCCTCCTAACGGTTGAACTGACCCCAGAGGGAAGAGTGTGCACGCTGAGGACAGAACTTGTGTCTCCGTGTCCCTGTGGGCACACCCCGCGTGGGGAGGCAGCAGGAGCGTGGCCACTTACAGCCATGACCCTTTTGTAGAGTGTTGGAGTTTCAAGTTGCTACACTTCAGTCATTACA